TCCAAAACAGGGTTTAAGCCTCTCTAGCCATTTGAGCAACCAAACTTTAGGATACAGAACCTCAAACCCTTGTTAGGTAGCAACTGAAAAGTAGTTTTAAGGATGTTCAACAGCAGAGTGGGGCTGTTAAATCTGGATTTAAGTTCAGAAAGCTTGGTGATGGCCAGAGAGGACCCCTGCTATGAACTTTTGAGTGGAAGCTTAGTTGCCTAAATCTGGGATCAACTCTTTATAGTGTGGAGCATCCAGTTAAATGCTTTTGATAGTCACAAGCTTTACTTTTGGCCATTAAGTGTAGCCATGGGCCAAGGAACATCCCAGTTTGGGGATTTTTAGTTTTCTCTCTTTCTGCAGACCAATAACCATGTTCTCAGTATTAGGTTACTGGCTGAGCAGTCACTCACCAGGGGGAGAAACCCACAAGTGATGTGACTGGTGTAAGATAAGACAACAAAGATGCAGCTTTTCAGTGGACTAAAGAAACCTGAATTATTTCTGGATGTTTGTGCTTAGTTCCCTTAATGTTCAGAGTTCATCCCAAAGGTCAGCCCACATATGTGGCTCCCACAGCAGCTTTCCTTTTCCCAGTCCAGCTGTGACTGCTGCTGGCTGAAGCTGCCCCACACAGCACGAGGGGTTCATCTGGGTGAAACCTGGCCCATGTGGGACTAGTTTTCACCCAGAAATTGCAGCAGTGTTGTGAGAAGGAAGGACCCCAGGGCTCTGCATTCAGGGAAATGCATGTTGTCCTGGAACCGCCTCCTGTCCATGGATGTCTCAAAGCTATACAGATCTGTTATTAACCAATAAGCTGGGGGTCCTTACTGGGGTGTTGAAGTTCTGCTGTTGTGCTTTGCACACCCAGCTGTGACACAGCTTCGAGCTTGGAGTTAACAAATCACAGGTGAGAACTTAAAACTGCTTCAGCTCTAACTTCACRAACTGTTCTCAAAAGAAAATAATGATTATCATTAATCTGTTCTCCCTAATTAGTTAATTTTCTTGTAAGTGTAGATGAGTACAGTGTGAACTCATGTAAGATGGGAATTGTTCATTAGGTTGTGACTTTACTGGGGAAGATGGAGCGCTTGCGCAGTTCTCCGCTCCACGCCAACATCTCCACTGCTCTGGATAAACACCTGGAGTCCATCCACGTGGTGCAGGCATGCAGGAAGGATGAAATTGTCAATGCTTCAGGTCGGCAGCGGCATGGCCCTCCCAGGTGCCAGGATGAGAGAGGTACAGCTGAGCTTATGTACATTTATTTATAAGGTAGCTGAGAAGTTGAAAATGTGTTGCAAGGCTATAAAAAATAAGTGAGGGGCTTTGTTTTAATTTTTTTTTCAGTGTTAGAGCTTTGCCAAAGGCAGACTGGGTGGAGTTTGGATGAGGGTTTGAGGAGACGTTAAAACTGGGTTTTAGAGATAAATAGGTTAAATCAATTTGGAGGTTGTACCAGCCCAGGTGATACTCACAGCTCTGGGTTTCAACACCCATTCACATGACCTATGTGCTTCAGTTCAATGCCCCAAATGAGCTGTTCCTTCACCCATGGTACGGATTTCTTGGCAGGACAGGTGAAGGACCCCTCTGTGACCCAGAAGGGGAAGGCCCAGGTGCCATTAGTGTGTGTGTGTGTGTGTGTGTGTGGTACGTGTGTGTACATGGAGCACCCCATGCACACCCAGGTGTGAAGCTGCAGCAGGAAAGTGCTGTAACAAACTCAGGACCTAACAGCCACTCACCTGCCTCGTTGTGTGAATGCAGAGAAATTCACATCCAGCTTTTATAAACTGGATAGGTCAGGCACTAAAGGGACCTCAGGTGTGGGGTGAGGGAACTCTCAGCAGTGCTGCAGGACTAAAGGGCTGTTTCCTCCCTCCCACAGTGGTGCTGGCTCTGGCCGTGGCGCTTCGAGCCCTGTGCCTGGCCACGCGCAAGGTCCGCACCGTGCTGTGGTGCGCCTTCCAGATGACCCTGCCAAAATCCTCCACTGGAAAACGGGCTCGGGAGAGACTTCCCCAGGAGGGGGCACCACCCGAAGAGAAACGGGCAGAGACCCCCCCGGCTGCAGCTGTGACCCCGCGAGGGCCCAGGGAAGGGGGTGCAGAGGGAGCCCCGGGGTCGTGCACAGACCTGCTCCGCAGTGTGTATGAGAGAGGAGACTCGAATTCCTCATAATTTTGATTCTTTTTAGTTACTTTAAAGTTTCAACTGCTAAAGTTCATATTTAAAGCTGTATCTTGATGAGAAGTGAGATTTGCCTTAAGGGCTCTCAGGTTAAGCTGTTAACGTGACAGGCAGGGCCAGAATGTTGTTAAGTGAAACTGGTGAAAGTTAACTTAAAAAATAATCAGATTAATTCATTAACAGCCAAGATATTATTTAACTCCTGCAGGTGAAGCCTGGTGTCCAACTCTCCCCATAACTCCTTTTAGTTTTGCTTTAGAAAATAGGTTTTTAAATAATGATTCTTAAAGACTGGTGTGACGGGGTGTGAGGTTGGTTTCAGATCAGATTGTGATGTAAAATGGTTTCCTTATTGAACTAAAACCTGGAAACAGGAAGAAAAAAGCCTAGCAATACCCAATATTCATGTAAAAGTAGATATTTAAAATACATATAATTTATTAATTTGAGATTTTAAAGTCTATGTTTTGGAAAGGCAATATGCACCAGGTTCCACTAAATTACCAGTAGAGCAGAATTGCTGTGTGAAACCATGAATTTAGTGAATGTGTTCAGATATTTGGAATGCTCTTCCTTTACAACAAAGGAACTACTGTTGTAAAGTATTTAAGCATAATCAAACTACGACAGGCAAACAGGATTGTCCTGCAGAGCTGTGAAGGAGCTTCAATAATGAGCGTTGTTTTTAATTTAACTTCGGAAAAGGTAGTGCCAAGTTCTGAAATTTGGATTTTCTTAAAGTTACTAGTTTGGTTTGAGATTTGATTGTCAACTTGTAGGCTTCTTAGTTCCCTTCTGCATTTGGGCAGCTCCCAGCACTGGTGTTTGCTTGCAGCTCTCAGTCCTTAGGAGCAGAAGTGATGGATTCACCAGCACCTGACACTGGTGCTGGGGGAGGAGTGACCCTGGTAAACTCACAACCAGTGGGTTAAAGGTACTGAGCTGTCCATGCCTGCACACCCTGGTACTGCCACAGCTCTGTTCTTCCTGCTGCTGGGAATGCTGATATGCAGAAGGGGTGATGGCATCAGATAAATTGTTGTTAGATGAYGTGCAGAAATGCCTGAGAAGGGCTCAGCAGAAGGTGGGGTGTGATCACTGCAATGACCAGAAGTGCTGCCGGGTGAGTGGGGCAGAACAAGCGCAGCTTCATAACAGTCACTGCACTGGGGGTTGTTCAGTTTAACCCAGGCCGTGTTGATATTAAAGCAAAACTGACTGTGCTGACTGGAGTTGTCTATAGGAAATAAACTCATTTATGTTGAAGAGCTTTTGTTCTCCAAGTGTGTTTCCAGGCTGGGCTCCTCGAGCCTGAACCATCACCAGGGGGAATCATTCAGTCTGTTACAGAATTGTGTTCAGGATAAATCAAAGGGGATGCTGAAATCACTCTCTGTAGAGAGCCATGACCATAACATCAGCCACGCCAAGGGGAGCCACCGTAGGGAATGTTTCTTCCCTGCAAATGTCTTGTTGGCTCCAAGCTCTGCACTGCCAGAGAAGGCTGATGCAGCAATTCCATCATCTGCACTGGGAATCTTAGGGGTGAGTCCAGAGTATTCCTGCTCTATAAATAACTCCCTGATGCCAATGCCAGCTGTGCACTGCTGACTGTCATGAATGGAGCAGCAGCGCTCTGAGCTCCAGAGGCCGAGTGGGTGCTTGCCTGGGCACTCGATCCATGGCACAAACTGCTGGCATGGGAAGGGGAGGGCCCACAGCCCTTGGCAGGGGCAGCCTGGGGTGAGCAGAGAGGGCACCCTACAGCCTCACAGGCTGGGAAATGTCAGCTCCCTTCGGATTTCCAACACCACCGGCTGCTGCCATGGTGCTGCTCCTGGCCACAGTTCCAGGAGGGCTGCTGGAAGCTGAAAGGCTGGACTTGCCTTTGCTCGTGATCGCTTGTGATCGCTGACACCTGACAGGGCCTTTCCCAATGGCAGAGCAAGGTTTGGCCAGACAGACACAACAGCCCAGCCCAGCCCTGTCCCTGGCTGGGAGTGCAGTCCTGCTCAGGCTGGGMTGTGCAGAGGGATCTGCTGGGCTGTGGGAGCAAATTCCCACTGTGAGTGATTGTGCCCTTCTTACATCCATACAGACTCCCATGGAACGTGCACACACGTGCAGCCTGTTGTTCCTGGATAGGCTCTGGAGTGCAGCAGGAGCAGAGTGGTCTCAGTGCCTCCTCTCCTGAGGAGCTGACCACTGCCCTTCCCTGGACCCTCACAACCACACAAGTCAGGTGTGCTATGCCCCTGCAGTGGGCAGCTCCAGCCCTCAGCTTGCATTTTCTTTGGAAGCAAAGGGCTGGGCGGTTCAGTGCCAGGTCAGAGCTCTGGGAAAAGCCACTTCAACTGTCAAGGATGGGCAGTAGCTGCCAGAGCAAGCAGGATACCAGTGGGAGGTGAGATCGCTCAGGCCACCAGCCACTCCTGAGCCCTGTRGCCAGTCCTYGCCCAGCCTCAGCCCAGGGCTGGTACAAAGTAAGAGCTGACCTGTGGTGCTGGGGCTGAGTGGCACCCCCCTCCCTCAATAGCTGCCCCCAGCCCTGTTCCAYTGTAGTCCCACACCCAAAACATGATGCTCCAGCCAGGATCTGCCACAGTGCACCAGGCTGGGCCAGGGAGAGAGCCCAAGGGAAAAGCACAGCTGGGTCAGCTCCCAGGAAAGGGGGCACCACAGCCCTGGGAAACAAGGCATGAATGAAGGAGGATCTGCACCAAGGCACCAACAGGTGAGCCCTCAGAAATGCTGCTGCTGGCAAGGGGCCAGAAAGGACACAGCACTGGCACCACAATCACAAATGGCAACATCAYCCAGASGAACCCACTTCTTGKCCAACCAGATTTATTATTCAAGTCCAAAGACAAAGCAGCTGGAGACTCACGCGCAGCAGCAGCTTGARGGGGAGGCCTGGCCCTGGAGTCAGAGCGGTGCTGAAAGTGGGCGCTGGGTCAGGCACCCTGGGAGCTCAGAGTGCAGGACTGCAGGAGCACAGGAGCGCAGCACAGGTCACCTCACAGCAAACAGGCACCCAGAGCACGATGCAGCRCAGAGCCAAGGCACACCCTTCCTCTCGCAGCCCCTCCATTCCCCTCAGTTCACAGGATTAGTGTTCTCGTGGTGGGCAACACCGTCACAAAAAAGGCTGGAGCAGCAGGGCTGAGCCCGTGGGGCAGGAGGAGCATTCAGGAGGAGCACACTGCWCTAATGGCAGCTGTGCCCAAGGAGAGCATCGAGCAGTGACCCCAGCACATCCCCGGCTCACCCTGCTCGGGCCAAACCAGTGCCAGAGTTTCACCCTGTAACAGCCCTGGAAATAACAGTCCACGTTCACCCCATGTTCCCCCATGTTCATCGGGAGCAGCATTTTCCAGCTATCTGGAGTCTTACAACTGCACAAGGAGTGTGGTTTGCTGCTGCTCCGGCCTGGGCAGTTTCCCTCACCCACAAGTGATGTAGTCACATTGCTGCAGCTCCTCTCTGTTTCACACATTTCACTGATTTGCTGCAGGCCAGCATCACCCTGTGCTGAGCTCAGCTCCAATCCTGCTCCCCCAGCCCAAGCAGGGCTGTAGCATTGTTTGTGGCAGCACAAACACAGGGCTTTGCAAAGACATTTTTCAAGGCTTGTGGAAATGAATCCATGTGTGCCCCAGGGCAGTGTGTCCTGGCTTTCAGGATGGGCTCAGCTCAAACCACAGCTGGTGCAGGAGCTGCTCCTGCACCCTGCTCCACTCCCCGGTGGTTAGAAATAAAAATGGATCAATTTAACAACACAGACATAATCACTTCACCCTTCTTTGGTACAGACACTGGCCAYAAGCACCAACTGGGACACTGACACCACAAGCACAGGGCACACTGAGTCCAGGAGCTGCTCACAGATTCTGTTCTGCTATGCAACAAAACCAAAAAAAGAAAAAAAGGAAAAAAAACAGGAAACACTTCCCAAGAACTGCTCCCAGCCATGTGCCCACAATTCTTGCTGCTTTTTAAACACACACTGTACTCAGAATTAATTTTATCCTTCGAGAGTCCAACTTGGAAATCACCAGCTACCGCTTCCGCTCGCCTTTCTGTGTTCGTTTCTTCTCCTTCTCCTTCCTCTCCTGCTTGGCCAGCTTGTCCTTCTCCCGCTGGAGTTTATCCTGCTCTTTCTTCTTCTGGAACTCATCCCGCARTAGCTCCCGCTCCAGCTTTCTGGCRTTCAGGACATCCTCCACGTTGGTGTTTCGGAACAGCGCTGGGGTGGGATAAGGACCAACAACGCTCTGGCTGAGGCCGTGTGAGACAGTGCCTGTGGCACGTGAGGGGTTTGTTCCACTTTCCCCCTCATCTTCTGACTCCCTGCTTCCTCACCAGGCAGAAAGGAGAAGGAATCTCTGATTGCGTAAACAGATAGAAAAGTCAGGCTGAAAAAACATCCACTCCTAGAGAAGGAAGGGTCTGGAGCACAAGTCCAGCTCAGAGAGCTGGGGGGGCTCAGCCTGGAGAAAAGGAGGTTTGGGGGCACCTTCTGGCTCTGCACAGCTCCCTGACAGGAGAGGGCAGCCAGGCAGGGATGGGGCTCTGCTCCCAGAGAACATGGGACAGGATGAGAGGAAACAGCTTCAAGTTATGTCAGTGAAGGTTTAGGCTGGATATTGGGRAAACTACTTCATGGAAAGAGTGGTCAGGCATTGGAACAGGCCAGCCAGTGCAGTGGTGAAGTCCCCATCCCTAGAGAGGTTTAAAAGATCTGTGGATATGGCACTTGGAAACATGGGGCAGTGATGGCCTTGGCAGTGCTGGGGGAATGGTTGCACTCAATTAAGAAGGCTTTTCCAATCTTAATGATTCTATGGGTTTTTTTCCTAGAAAAAGGAGGTTGCCAACTGGTTCTTAAGACTGGTGTGTAAAAATACATGCCAAACCTCTACAAAGCTGAAAGGAAGAAAACACACGGGGTCCAGCCTCGATTGGACTCATTGCAGCTGTGTGCGACATGTCTGAGCACATACACCTACATATATGTGTGTTTGTGCACTTACACACATGTCCCTAATGCAGGGATAAGAATAATTCATGTTTCATATTTAATTGTGTGATACAACCTGCTTCCATCTTAAATTTGCCAGCTGGGAGCTYAAGGACTATCTCAATTCAGAGACAGACACAGGGTCCTGCCCACCCTGAGTGTTTGCTGCACCACAGCCCAAGAAGCTTCATTCCTGACACGATTTCCCTCTCTGGACAACAGTAAACATTAATCTCATGCTCTGGGAACACTGTCCTTATCRATAAGCATGTTCTGTGAAGCTGCAAGGAGGTGTACGAGGGAAAAGGGAGGAGAGGAAAACAAGGGCAGGGTTGGTGTGAGCGCTGCACACAGAGCWCATGGACATGTCACTGTCACTGTGAGCAAGGTCAGGGTACACGGAGAGAAAAACCAATCCCCAACTTTAAAAGGTAGCCCTAAAGAAACAGGGAGATCAGCAGAGGGAAAGAAGGATGAGAAACTCACTGTGGAGGCTGCCTGCCTGACAAACAGCCTGAGTCACCAGGAATTCAAAGGATACATTTTTCTGATCCAATATTTACTGCTGTCGTCGATCCATCCTGTTCATCCCCACCAGTGTGATAATTAAGGAAACACAGACATCAGTAATGAACTTGTGCCTCTCTACAGCCACACTTCACTCAGAATACCTCAAATAACAACTTTATAAAGCCAGGAAGGAGCAGCTGGACTCTCACAGACCATGCAGGGACAACCCTCACCCCCAGCTCCTGCTGCTCCAAGGGCAGATGCGGTTCCCTACGATTCACTCTGCTGGGCAGGGAAGAGCTCGTTCTTCAGCACCACAAAGAGTTAACTTCTAACCCTCCCACTCCACRCACTCTCTCTGTAAAGGATTCTTTCAGCAGATTTCTCCTGGGAAAGCAAGAGAGAAGCTCAGTACCAACTGCTGAAGGATGGGGGCATTCACTGTTCTGCCACACACCTGGGCTGGGCAGTCTCACAAACACCCTCCCAGGAGCATCTGCTCACAGCACTACACAAGAAGCTTGCATGCCTTGTCCATGAAAGTTAGTTTATCATGAAGGAAGACTGCAAAGCTTCCCCAGCTCTCCCAGCAGACCCTGCAAAGCTGGGAAGGTGTTGTTGTTTTAGGACGTTTAGAAGAGGCACTGTCCTTCATGGCCCCAAGCAGTGCAGGAAAAGGATATTCCTCCTCGTCGGTCACGTTGGCGTACTGGGCCAGAAGCGCAGCCTTCCTCTGCTTCTCCTCCTGGGACACCTCCTTGGGCTTCACCACGATCCTGGCCTGCTTCTCCATCATGCTGGCGATGGCCTGGACCTCATCTGGCAGGAGAGGAGTGACAGTGTCAGCCCAGGCCACTGACAGGGCCACCCAGCTCCTGGTGCTTCCTCCCTCTGCAGCCCCACCCACGGTCAGCGCCCGTGTCCTGCACGGACACTGTCCTGGGGAAAATGTACCCAGCAGGAGAGGTCTCACCCAAAAACACCCCCCGAGCTTTCCAAAGGCCACTGGTGGTGCTGTCAAAGCCAGCTGCTTTGGGGAATTCCAGCGGGGATCTGGGAAAAATGGAGCTGCTGATGTGACACCGAGTGACTGGCTTGGGCCAGCATGGGACTGACACCCTGAGGTGACACGAAGGGACTGGCTTGGGCCAGCATGGGGCTGACACCCTGACGTGACATCAACTTCTCCCTTCAAGGGAGAATTCCCTGTGCTGTGCCCAGCCACCATGAGACACTTGTTATTCCTGGAGTGAGGCAAGTTTCACAATGAAGCTGGAATCAGGCAGGCTCTGGCTAATGAAAATCCATTTGACTCCAAATCACATTCTTTTCTGCATCAAAGCACCTTAATAAGTTTATTTAAGTATGTACTTAACCCCCATCAAAGAGATATGCTGAAAACCTGAAGTAAGAGATCAGTTCCATGTCTCCCTTTCTTTCCAAGAGAAACTAACAACTGATTTACCTTTTTAACACTGAAATTCTGCTGCCCATTTCCTAAAATGACATGTGGGTTTTGACACCGATTTTCTTTTTAGTCTGTTAATCACTTATCCTCAGGACTCTTGCTACTCTGAGTGCATACAGACTTCAGTGGGGATTTATCCTTTATGGAACCCCAGTGAAATAATTACACCCTCGAATTCCATGAACCCAGACACACTGTGCTGCCTTTTAATGACAAGAAAAATCTCTGCTGGTGAGCACTGGCAGGAGCAGGAGGAGCCCAGCAGCAGCTCCAGCAATCCTAGTCACTTGTCCCCAAGAGGAATTTATTTTATTTAAYGCATAGAACAGCATTAACTTCTCCCTGTCCCCAGCCAAAGCAAGGTCAGGCCAAGAACAGACTTCCAGAATTTTTTGAGAAAACCACTGAGCTGCTGTGTGGTAGATCTGCTGTGTCCACGCAGGGGGAGAGGAGAGGGGGATGCTGGGGCTGATCCARTGACAAGGGACTTGCTGCAGAGCCATTCCTGGGTGACACGGGGCACTGACAATGTGCTGTTTGCAACCAGAGGCAACAAGATGCAAAGCAAACACAAAGCAGCATTTAGCCCAAAGGGACATTCCATTGTCACGGTCTCTGGCCACATCTGTGTCACCGCAATGTCACTGATCCTTTGTCCATCCTTCCAGCACCCAGCTCCAGTGGGTCCAGAGCCCTGCACAGGGACCAGGACAAACTTCCCCAGGGAACGAGGACAAGGTGAGGTCTTGGCTCAAGACCTTTGTCCTCTTCAGCTGAGGACAAGGATGGATTCAGGGAGGGGACACAGGAATAGTGGGACTGCACCCACTGTGGCTGGGGAAGGAGGGGGAGAGTTTATCAGCAGCCTCAAAGAGCTTCCTGTGGAAAAAAGCAAGTATTTGTACAAAAAAGAGGAGTTGTAAGGAAAAATGTTGGAAGAGGAAATGCACTGTGTGAGTGGGGTGAGCAGCAGCAGCAGGGACAGCCCAGAGCTCAGCAGGGACAGCCCAGAGCTCAGCAGGGACAGCTGCAGTTGTATAAAGCAGCTGCTTTCCACACTGGCATTAACAGAAGCAGCAAAGGTTTCTATACTGTAATAGCTGCAGTGCCAGCACTAAACAGAGACAGCCCTGGACGTGCTGAGAAAGGAGTCACTGAAAAAAATACTGAATGGTTTGGGTTGGACCTTAATGACCATCTCACCAGAAAAAAAAAAAATCCTATAGAAAAAAACCCAAACAAAAAGAAAAACCCACACAAAAAACCCCACCACCAAGTCAAAAACCAACAACAGGCCAAAACCCAAACAAACAAAAACCCCACAAAAAGAAAACAAACAAAAAGCACTCTCCCCCTACAGGATGTCAAACCCAAAGAGCAGCAAATGCTGGGGCAGCCCAAAATGAAACTGCTCATCCCCATTGCAGATAAAACAGTAACTGAGCAGCAGTGAATGAGAGGCAGGTCAGACACGAGGGCAGCGTTGGTTTAACTCCTGCCAGGACAAACACAAAGTTCCCCTTGTGGTAAGGCCCCACAGGTCACCCCACACTGAGCACCAGGGCACAGCATCCCGAGGCACAGCACTCTACCTTCTTTCTCCTCTTTGGCATCAACGACCTGAGAGTCAGACCATCTGTCCATGACCTCCCTGCACACATCGTTCAAGAGATCTTCTTCCTAGGAAGGGAAAAGAGACTCCTCAGTCTTGGAACAGAGTTTGCTGCTTGAAACCAGCACCAGGCAGACCGCAAAAGCCCTGGCTGCAAAGGCTCTGCATGCCCAACAGTCAGCTCAGGAATATGGCTTTTCCCCCCAAATCTGCTTGTTAAACACACACAGGACTCTGGTTACCCTGGAACGACACACAATGACACCATGTCTGGTCACTGTGCACATGAACGCTGTGCCCAGCCAAGGAGGCCATGGTGGATCTTCACTCCCGAATCCTCCTGCCCAGCATCCTCTCTCTTCCTGAGCAGGGCCACAGGGAAGTGCTCAGTGCCACCTCCATGCTAAGCTCACTASAGGGAAGAAATTACACTGGACAAATCGTGGGTGAGGGCCAGTCACCACAGAGCTGAAACCACTGTGGTGGTACTGACAGACCATCACCTCCACCAGCAGGGACACTCTGCTCCCCTTTAACCTGCCTGGAACATTAAACACAACCTAGAGGAGGCAGTGGGACACATCCACACTGCTCCAACATGGACCTCCAGGGCTGCAGGGGCACAGCTGCCTCACCCTGGTCTTCCCCATGGAATCCCAGAGGAATCTCAGCCCTGGTGCCTGGAGCAGCTCCTGCCCCTCCCATCTCGCTGGCCCTGGTGCTGTTCCTCTCACATGTTCTCACTCCTCTCTCCAYCTGTGCTTCTGCAGGTGGTTGGGTTTTTTTCCCCTGCTTAAATTTGTTACTGGAAGGTGCTGAATGTCTTGAAGCTGACTGGCATTTGCTGCATGGGACAGCCAAGCACCACTGATGGGGGGTCACAGAGCTCAGGGGACAGCACCAAATAGTTTCAAACAAACAAGAAATTATCTTGATTTGGAGTTCAGTAAAAACAGAGAAAAATTAGCCACAGAGCATACAAGTGAAGCAGATTCTCTCTGGTTTAAAGAGAAGAACTGGACAGAAACAGTTTTAAGTTTCTTAGTTAGAAATGGTGACATCTGAATAAATTCATTCACTAGTGCATGACATAATCAGGACTGAGGAACCATGGACATGAGAGCAGATGTCACCTTATTTTAATAAGATTTGTGAAATACAAACAAGTAAACAAAAAACAAAAAAAAAACCCTGTAATTTGTGTACAGAACTAGGAGAAAAGACTTGGCAAAGAAAGTGCCAAATTCACTAAATTAAAGATTGTTTCAAAAGTCAATATAGAAATAAGCACAGAATCTAAAATAAAGGGAAAAAAAAGAAATTAAAAAAGAACAGACTATGAAGAGTAATTATAAAGTCTGAAGGTTCAAGAGACGAAAATGTTTTACAGGAATGGCAGAAAAATCAAACTGGAAACTGCAAATGAGGCTCAACTCAGCTGTGACTGTGGCATAGAGGGAACAGGCTGTGGTGTGACAGGGACAGCCCAGGACTCCGGGGACATGGGAACCCCACAGGTGCTCAGTCCTGGCAGCTGCAACACAGAAGGGAACTCAGCACTGAGGAGAAAAGGGGAAACAGCAGAAAATCAGGGATGAGTATCAGGGATGGGGTCAGTGGCAGGGCTAGCCAGCACTGCTCACACAGGACACACTCCCCAGGCCTGGACACGGTTAGGCACAGTCACAGTGATGGAATGAAGTCTGGTAATTACAGGGAAGTTAATTAACCTCGGCTACTGCACAGCATCACAGATGTCTGGCTCTATCCCTCACACTGGCAGGATGCACCCTTTGCTTCTCTGCCTCTTTTAGGCTCAAAGCTGAACTGCTATACTTGAACGAGCTCACTGCTGGCACCCCAGGGTGGGGAGGGGACAGGGACATCAGGGGAGGACGCTGTGACTTTTAGGAAACCCTTCTGGAATGGCACAGTCCGTGTACAGAAGGCATGGTGTCATACAATGACAAAAAGCTGATTGTACCCACCCAGTCCCTCTGGGTGCTGTGCTCCCACACTGATATTTTGGGAGGAAATCAGCGACAGCCACTGAGCCGACAGTCACCAACACCAGCACCACTCATGATTTAACATTTTACACTATGAAACACCCATTGATAAAAAATCCCGAGACACAGACACTGGAGAAATCACACAAGGAGGATTATCGAAGAGAAATCCTTTCCTGCACTCTGCTGACTCCCAGGAATTTGGCAGAGGCAAGCCCAGCCCACCCCTAAGCTCAGCCACGGCTGTTCCCGTCCGTCCCGGCTCCGGCCGGATCTGGTTCCTGGCACACAACACGTGTGAGGCACCAGAGCACCGCCCCACACACTCCTGCCAGAGGATTTATCATCAAAAGTCACCTCTCAACCCCACCTGGGCGCTGCCAGCTGRTGAACCCTGAGCCCTGCACGCAAAYAAAGCGGATCCCTGTATCCCCCACCAACAGCAAGTGCCCCGAGCCCGGCACAGACCCCCTTCGCAGGCAACAACACCCCCAAACAATGAACCAAAAACCCCTCAAGGGTCCCGGGTGGGACAAGAAAAGCCCCTGGAGGTGTGTGTCCCCCCGGGAAGGGGCTGATCCACTCCGGAAAGGGGCTTATGCACCCCGGGAAGGGAGAGCTGCACCCCGAGGCTGCAGGGGAGCCGCCCCGCCCGTCCTCCCCGCCAGACCCACTGAGCCCCCGGGCCCATCGAGACCACGACCACCCGTCGGCGTGTGGGCTGCAGGGGAGCCCCGGCGGGAGCTGGGCACGCTCATCGGCGTGGGGCGGACGGCGAGATCCCCCCGCCCGAGGGACSCCCGCCCCTCACCAGGCAGGCGGCCAGGACGGCCCGCAGCGCTTCCAGCCGCTCCTCGTCGCTCTCCTCCTCCCGCAACAGCCCCTCGATGTAGGCGCCGTACACGGCGCGGTCCAGCCCCAGCGCGTCCAGCCGCTCTGCGAGCCAGGCTGGAAACGGCGGCGGGTCCGGCACCGGGATCAGGGCCGCGATCGGGATCGGCGCCGCGGCCGCGGCTGCCCCGCCGGGCGCTGCCATCTTGGGCCTTGGGAGGAGGGGGATGGCGGCCGCGGAGGGACAAACTTGCGGCGCCGGCGGGAGCGGCGGGAGCCGGGGGAGCGGGGGTCGGTGCCGGTGCGGCCGTGCCCGGACGGGAGCGGCGGGACCGGGCGGGCGGCCCGGTGTGCTTGGTGTGTCCCGTGTGCTCCGTGTGCCCCCTGCCCCCCTGGCACAGCTTCCCCTTCCTCCGGAGAGCGGCTTGGCGGGGAGCGGAGCGTCCCTGTGCGGCCGCCGTGCGGGGCGGGGCGGGCGGCGGAATTTAAACACGGACGAGCGGCGGGATCC